ATTTTTTTTTATTAATAATATATAATTATTTTTGTCTTATTAAAATATTAATATCTTTTAAATATATAAAGCAACTTTTTTTGATATTTAAGTTAAGCTTTATATATTATATAATTTTTTTATAGTATAAAAAAATATATAAATATTTTAACTAAATAAAGTTTACATTTATTATTTAAAATTTTTAATTTTATTATTTTATTTTTGTTTATTCGTATTATTAAAAAACGCTTTATAATTATTAAAAATCTAATTGTTTTTTTGCTTGAAATCTGGGGGATCAAATAAAATAAACTAATAAAAATAATTTAAAAGGAGGGGGTCAGCATATTTTTGTTAAATAAAAATTATTTTAAACAAATATATTTAAAATATTATAGAAAAATATAAAAAAAATAAAAAAATGAATATTTAATTATAATAATAATCAGAAACAAACTGTTAAAATAAAAAATTCTGGTTTCTTTTCAAAAAAGCTATTTCTAAAGTAAAAAATAGCTAACTTTATTTTAAAAAACCTATAAATCGAAAAAAATAAATGAAAGTTAATATACTAGCTAAAGAATTATAATAAGCTTTTTTAGATATTAAATAAAATTATGCTTTTAGAAGAAGAAGAAAAATTACTATATATAATATATTTGATCTTTGAAAAATGCTATTTATAATAATTTTTAATAAATTTATATTGCTATTCTTAAAAAAAAAAAATATTATTTTAATCGATTGAATAGAATATCCTTATTTAATAATTCCATTTAATATTTATTTTTTTATGAAAAATATAAATAAAAACATCTCCTCCTTAAAAGACAAATCAAATATATAAATATATGAAAAATTTAAATAAAAATAAGAACTAAATAAATGTTTATATAGATTTTAAAAGGGGAATTTTATATAAAAGATTAAGTTAATGAAAAAATATTTATATTTATATTTGTATATATATATATGTATATTAATAAATAAGATAATATATATATGTATTTATTTTTAATTTAATAATTAATAAAAAAAAATATAATTTATTCATTTATAAAAAAAATATATTAAAATTTAAATAAAAAATAATATTTTAATAACAAGTTTAAATTTTAAAACAGAATTGAAAATTAATATTTTAAAAAATTTAAAAAGATAAAATTTAAATATATATATTTTTTAGAAAAATAATTTAAAATATAAATTATGTAAATTAATATACAACTATATAGATATAAATAAGAAATCTTTATTTAAATTTTTAAACAGAATTTTATAAAATATTGATAAAAGCTAGAATTTAAATAATTTTTAACATTTTCATATATATAAATAATTTTTTTTAAAAATAATTAAATATATTATATATTATATATATATTTTTTAAATTTATATCTCTATATATTTAAAAATAATTAATTTATTTATTTTTACAATTTATTTATTGAATATAATATAAAAAAATGATCATTGTATTATTCATTAATAATATTTATTTAAAATATAAAATAAATATTTTATTATTAATATATGAATTATAAATAAAATAACTTTTATCAAAAATAATCTTTCTTTTGTTAAAAAAATAATGATATTTAAGATTAGTTATAACATGATATATATAATAACTCTATTTTAAAAAAAGAAAAATAATCACATAAAAACAGAAACATTAAATTTAATAACAAATAAATTTATTATAATAATTTTATAAACATTAAAGATGAAAATATATATAATAGGAATTTATTTATGTAAAAAGACTAGATATATAATAAATACAAAATAATTTAAAAATCAAAAAAAGAAATTACAAATTGTTTTGACTTTTGTTTGTAATTTTAGAATTTGAAATATTTAATCGAAAATTGTAAAAGCTTTTATGATGTTTTATTTTTAGATAAATATTGAATTTAAGAAAATAATAATATTTAAAATTTCTAATAATTATAAAAATAATAATTATTAAAGAAAGTTTTATAAGAAAATAATAGTGAAGATGATGGAAGCTCTTTTAAAATAAATGATATTTTTTCATCTCATAATTCAAGTTCATATTAAGATACGGAAGGAAATAGTAGTAGTATGTCATAAGATAAAAAAAATTGAATTATATTATATAATAAGATGAAAAATGTAGTTCAGGAGAAAATAGTTCTTCTTTTTATAGTTAAGAATAATCTTCGTTTAGTAGTTTAAAAACTAATTAATAATATATAATAAAAAATTATAAATAAAATGATGATTATGTTAATATAAATTTGTAAAATAATCTCTAGAATTAAATAAAATATGATAATTTAGAAAATTATAGGCAAATAAATAAAAAAAGAAATAATAAATGTAAAAAAATAAAGCTAAAAAATGAAAATATTAAATAGAATATATAAAAAGATGAAAAAATAATTAAATAAAAATAAAAAAAAAATAAAGAAGAAAAACTTGATCATATATAATTAAATTTAGTAAAAGGAGAAGTTTAATAAATGAAAGAAAAAATATAAAATAGAATTGAAATTATAAAAAATTTATAAATTGAAGATTTTGTCAAATAAAATGAATAGTATATAAACTTAAATTAAAAAATTTAAAGTACAAATGAAAAATTCGATAAAAATAAAATCAAAATAAATGAAATAATTAGTTAACATCAAAAAATTAGAAAGAAATAAAATTCATTTTTATGAATTATTGAAAAAAAAAAAAAATTAATAAAATAATATATAACATTTTATAAATTTAAAGAAAATAATAATAGAAATATAATTATTTATTTTAATTTATGATTTAATAAATAATATTAAAGTTAAAAATAAAATATTTAATCAATTAATAAATATGAAAAAAAAAAAAAAAAATATTTTTATTTCAGATTTTAATAAAATTAAATAATATTAATAAATTTATATTTAAAATTATAAGATACATAATTTTTTTTACTATAAATTAATTTTTTAAAAATATAAAAAAAATATCATTTCTTTTAATGAAAAAAACGTGCAAAAAGATTTCCGAAAACCTTTATTTTAATCAAAAATTAGAAATAAATAAATATATATATATATAAATATTTATATTGTATATATATATATATATATAAAAAATATTAATTTTAATTAGTAATTTTATGAGAATTTTATGAAAATTATATTATATTTTAATTTATATATTATAAAATAAAATTATATATATATATATATATAAATATAAATTTATTTTTAATTTATATTTAATATATAAAATATGTATCTTTTTTTATTATATTATAATAATATTTATTTATAATGTTATAAATATAAATATATTTTTTTTATATATATTTTACTTTTTCTTTATCATTTTTATTTTAAAATTGTTTATCATTAGTTTTTTTATTATTTTAGAATTATTATTAATTAAAAAATTCATCTTTAAACATTTTTTTATTCATTTATTCCATTATTTTTTTTGCTGCAAAATTAAATGCTTCTTACTTTACTTTTTATTTTAATTATTCTTTAAATCCTGCTTTTTTTTGTGTATTTTTTTATTAAAAGAAATCTCCAAATTATTAATTTTGATTATTTGTAAATATTTATTCAAAATTAAATTATTAATTTCCATTTTGGTTTTTAAATTCAAATTTTATATTACCATTTTATTTTATTTAATTTATTAATTATTCTAAATCTTTTTAATTTATTCCTTAAAACATTGAAAAAGGATTATCACCATTTTAAAAAGGATTACCTTAACCTTAAAAGGGATTGCCTTATCCTTAAAATGGATTGCCTTAACCTTAAAATGGATTGCCTTAACCTTAAAATGGATTACCTTAATATTATTATTATTAGGAAGATTCTGAATATCCGAACATCGATCTATGAGAATCATATTCTTTTCTTTTTTAATCATTTCCAATGATATCCCAGGCAGCATTTATTTGTTTGAATTTTTCTTAGTTTCCTTTATTTACATCTGGATGGTATTATTTAGTTAATTTATAATATTGTTTTTTAATTTCATCTTTTGTAGATGTTGGTTTTACTCCTAAAATTGAATAATAGTCTTTATCAAATTATTATTGGAAGTATTTTTTAGTAGATTTTTGGAGTGTTTTATAAAAAAGGAAATGTTTTTTTGTTATTAATTTGAACATTTTTTTTATAAATTAAAATATGTATAAATTTATTCTTTTTTTTTTTATTATTATTATTATTATAAAAAAAAAATACTATGGAAAATTTTTCTTTTTTAAAAATAAATAAAAAAAACTATACGCAAATAATAAATTTATTTTTCATCCTATATGAAATCCTTCTGAACCTTCACTAATTGAAAATATAAGTTTCTCTTTTAATTTCTCTTTACTGTCATATTCAGGTAAATCTATTTAATTAAAACAAGTATGAGCGACTAAAAGACTATCTGCATTTGTATGCCTATCAATTTTCAAAGGATAATTTTTAAAACCTCCATAAGGTACTTTAAATGAACCAGTAAGGAAAAACAAGAAATTCGCTCTTTAAATTTCATCTTCTTCTTAGAGAACTTCCCAAAACCATTTAATAACTTTATGATTTTCAGTATAATAATAATATTAGGTGTTTTTCTTCATATCTTCGACTAATATATATAATATATAAATGTATGTATATATATATATATACATATATATATATATATATATATATATATATATATATATATATATGTATTTTTTTATTTTTACTATCAACTGTAGGCATTCCAGTTAAATGAAGGCCCAATTCTTATTCATTTATAAATTCTAGTGCTTCCCTAGGGATTATGCTCTCAAGTCCTTTGATAAAAGCTTTCGCTTATTTTTCAATATTGGCAATCATTTTTGCTTCGCAAAAAAGTTTAACGAATTATTTTTTATTTGTTTCATTTACAGGTACATTCAAACCATTTTTAACTAATTCGAATGTTTTTTGGATTCCAAACAGGTTTTCTGTATAACTAAAATCATACATTAGATCGTCTATCTCATTTTCTAACATCCAACTTAAATTTCTACTTAACTCAGGATCTATATCTTCTAAATCCTTAATATAGACATTTTTTTCTATATATATAAAATATATATGAATACACATATATATATATATATATATATATATATATATATTTATTACTTAACATATGTTTAAGAAAAGACTTACAAAAGTTGACATCAAAATGCCATTTATCAACTAATGATTTTCCTACAAGTCTTCCTAGAAATACAAAATGAGTTAAATGATCAGGGACTATATGTGATAAATGTGAAGGCTAAATACTTCTTTTATTGGCACTCAATTGAAATAAACCGTAGTCAGGATTAAAGACTTCTTTTCCTAATAAAGCTAGCCATTCTTTAGTCAAACCACCGTAGTCTATTCCGTCTTCTTCTTTGAATTGTATTTTTATTTATTTAAGAACTAATTCGGCGGGTGTATACTTTCCTAAGTATTCTAAAGTGGAAATCCAAGGCTTTTCTCGGTCTATTACGAAGACTATACTTTGGGTTTCTCCTTGGAGATTTTACTGCTTTTGAAGAGCACAGTTTTTTGCAATTGAACGTAGAAAGTCTAGTTTTATTTTTAAAGGAAGTTTGTCCTTTTTTTCAGTATTTCGAATAAAATGGTGGAAATTAGATATTCTTTCTGGATTTAACTCCATTATTTACTCTATTACTTACATTATTTTTGGCACATAAAGCATATGAAAGGTCTAATCGATGTCGAATATGGGCTCATTGTAGGCTGAAGTGCTCCTAAAGAGCATACTTATGGGTAAATACTGGGGTACAGTTTCTTCATTGGAGTATAATCGGGATAGTTTAGGCTCTTATTCCTATTATTCTTCTTCGTTTAGTTCTTTTATTACATCAGGACTGGTCATATTATAGTTTTATTCGGGGGAGGAGATTTCTGAAAAGTTGTCTTCTAAGGAATATTTTTGTATTTTTTTTTCTGAAAAAGTGCATTTTTCATCACTTTAAAGTTAAGAAGATGAAATTAAGGCTGAATTGGTATTATTTTATTATTATTATGTATTTTAATAATAAGGATTCATAAATTAATGAAAAATAATAAGAGACTTAATTTAATATTTCCAATTCGAATATATATCTAGTGTTATAGTCTAAGATTAGTTAAAATCAGTGCCTATTAATTCCACTAAATTAAAAATATACTCAATACTCTCCCTAAAGGCTAAGTTTACGAATCTTATTGAATATATTTTCTTTTTTAGGTATTTAGTGAATCTTTAATGTATATTTTACTTCTCGTTTATATACCAGATTTTAAGCTCATTTTGTTTTTCAGAAATCATTGTTTTTAGGGAATTTATGAGACTATTTTTGCTCTTTTTTTAGTTTATTTCGAGGTTCTACATCACTTATTTTTTTAAAGGACTTTAGAAAGAACAAGTATTTAGGGTTTAGACGTATTTTTTTAGTTTGTTTATTTCTTTTTGCTTAGCACCTATGTCTTTGTTTGTGTAGAGTTTTATGGCTTAATCTAGTATGTTTTCCTCGAATATACTCTTCATGTCTTTTATAAAATGCCTTAGATTATGTGAAAGGTTCTTAAACTCCTGACAGGAAATGCTATTTAGGGTAAAAGCTTAGAATTTAGAGAGAATCACGTTTAATTAATCAACATCTTTTAACTAAGAGACTATAGTCTGCTTGATATTGAAGTTATTTTTGACTAAAAATGTGGATTTAAAGTTCTCGGTGTTTGCCTGGATTTTCTGCATTATTTCATCAAGTTATTTACCATAATGAGTTAGTACACCAGATAGTATTATGACAAAATTGATGCTTTTGAACTTTATTAGGCTTTAGATGATGCCAAGAAGGTTTTTGTTTGTTTTTATTCTCTTAGCAGACTTAAAAATGACTTCGGAGAGTGTTTTCATGAAACTTTAATTGATTATTTATTCGCCAATGATGTATTTATTATTGGTTTATTATTCTTGTTAAACATTATAAAATGTGCCTGCTTTTTGAGACTTTTTTTGTATTTTTCTTTGCTTGTTTTATAAATATTTCTAGTCATAGTTTAAGAATTCGTTGTTTTCGTCATTTATATTGTTGTTTTTGTTCAGTTTAGATTAATATTGAGGCTCGTGGGAAAATTTACGGGATCTTAAGTTGTTTTCTTCGATTTTTTCCTCTTGATTTTTAGAAGATAGGAATTTCTCACTTTAATGAAATTAAGATTTGCTCAAAATATGATCCACAATCAATAAGGCGAAATCATTAGTGTTTTTTCCTTATAATTATTCCCCTATTAACTTAATTCCGAGCTCTAAAACTGATGAATTTTCCTAAAAGGAATTAAAAACGGTTAAATTTTAATTGACTGCGATTTTTTGGCGCATTTTTTAGATTAATTCTAAACTAGAGAGGGAATTTAGGTTTCTTTCAAGGAGATTTTTATCAAATATTTGTATAAAAATATTATCTTACGAAACTATTTTCAACTGCTTATGGGGATTTATTATACCTTATATGTATAGTTATATACATATATTGGAGTTTAGGATTCTCCTTATGATAGAACATATACGGGATTACATGAGGCTTTTGGAAATTTAGGATGAGTTGAAAAAACAGGAGAAGTTCTTGTCTAATACTTGGTAGTTTTTGCTATTTAAACATAATAAAAAGGTCAAAGAGTCAGCTATTTTATAACCTAAGTAAGGATTCAGACTTAAATATTAAAGAAGCTTTAAAGGACTTTCCGTAAATGTTTAAAAATCATCATTGTTTATTTCTTTAGAGGGACTTATGAGCAGACTTTGGATTAAAATTTCCAAAATTTCGTCTTCAATGATTGGAAGTTGAAAAAAAAAGTCCAACGGGAGATTATTTTCTTGATTTGGATATTATTAGAAAACTTAAATTGAATTAAAATTTTATTAGATTTAATCTAAATCTTGGGTATTTCCTGACTTTTTATATGAGTTTTTGTTATTGTTTTCACTTTCAGATTCCTATTATTAATCAGAGTCTAGTTCAGATAAATCGTCAATGGAAGGAATGTATATAGACTAATATAAAAAAGCATATCTTCGTTAGTTTTTAGAGTTCATATAATGCTGATTTAAATTGTTTTGGCTTGTGTTTTAGGATGTTTGGCTATATTTTTGCCTTAGTTTAAGGGCATTTTTTCGAAGGTCTTTTGGAAGCCTTTCTATTAGGTTATTATCGGCAAATTTAAGGAGAAAATTGCGAGTTTCAGAATCGAATTTGTTAAAAAATGTAATTATTTATTAAAGTTCGGATTTACGGTAGTGTGAGGTTATTTAAAGGCCATTAAATAAGTTTTTTATTGAGATTTTTTCACGTTAGATTATTAAGTCAAGCTTGACTTTTTACATTTCTTCTCTAGATAGGGCTTATTAGTTTGCTTTTTCAGTGTTTTCTTGTCTAAAAGAATTTAAAAATGCTACTTTTATTTCGTCTGAAAGAGAATAAAAATATAAACGGTCAATTTAATATTCTTCAAGGCAATTTTCGGAAAAACCATATGCCTAGAAATCAAACTTTGTTTAATATAAAATATATAAAAAAATGAAATATTTATAAGTAAATATAAGATTATGTTTTACTTTTTATTCTGGTTCTGATAAAGTATTTTCTTATAGAAAATATTATTATTGTTATGTTATTTATTAAAATTAGTATTAGGCGGCTTTTAAGATATTTATTTTTTCATCAACTGAGGCTTATCGGAATTAGTTTTTGTCTATATTGTATAAATTTAAAGAATTTCTAGGAAAATCTAATAATGACCAATTAAATTCTAACATTAATTATTTACTTTCCTTTTTATAATTTATAAAACAATAAAAATATATATATATATATACTTCATCTAAATTATTATCATCTTCATCATCTTCTTCTAAAATTTAATCCTTTAAATAAAAATAAATATAATTAAAATAATAAATATTTTAATAGAATAAAAGAATTAAATATATATAAATATAAAAAAAAAATTATATAAAAATACAATATAAAAATTATAAATATATATATAAATATAAAAATATATTTATATATATATATATATATATATTTGTATATTATAAATCTTTAATTTTATTTTTTTGTCTATTTTTTACATATCCGTCATTGTTATTGAAATTAAGTATTATTTAATTTTCTTCTGTTATTTTATTATGTTTTTTTTCCTCATCAAATTCATCCTCGCCATTTTCATTTTTATATTATTATAAATATCCTTTATTATTGATATTTCTTATATTTCTATTATTAATTTCGTCAATTAAGGTTTTTTCTATATTATTACTTATATTTGAGTTATTTTTTTTTTCTTCTTCTTCATCTTCCTCGTAAATTTCTTCGTTTATTTGATTTTGTAAATAAATTCTTTCACTATTAAGTTTAATTAATTATTATAATTTAAGAATTTCTTATTGACTCTTATTTTCTTCCTATTCGCAATTTTTTTTCTCGATTTATTTTTATAAGAAATTATTTTTTTGTGAATTCTCTTATTTTGTTTCTTACTATTGCTAATTTTTTTATAAGTTTTTTTATTCTGTTTGCATTTTTTATATATCGTAAATTATTTATTAATAAATAAATTAAGCCTTTGGTATATTATTATTCTTATTAGGCCATTTATCCCCGTTTTCCTAATCATATATATATTAAGAATAAAAGGAGTCACAATCATTATCCTCGCACATATAATTCAGCATCCATTCTGAACTTTCTTAATAATATAAAGAAGGTATTTCACCTTTTAATTTACCAGATTATATCATATGTAATATATAATCTTAAGAATTTAATTTTTAAACACTTCCGTATATTGTATTTGACCAAGATTTTCTTTAAATAAAATATTTTGAAAAAGTTTCTTTTGAATTTTTTTTTAAATTTGTATTTTAGGAATGACTATTTTAGGTGTTTTATTCATTTTATTATTAGGAAGTTTTATTTTGTTGGAGAAAATCGTTTTTTATATCTGAAAAAAATGAGGTATTAGAAGTTTTTTTTTCATTGAAAAATTTTGTATTTTCTTGCTGGTTTTTTTCGACGCATTTTTAAATAAGATTTTCAAGGTTTTTTTCTTTAAGTAAATTTTAAATGTATTTATTGTGCGAATTCTTTATATCCGAAAGCTTTTTGTTGTTTTTACCATAAAAATTTCCGGTATATAACATATAAGATATTTTAATTATATTCTTATATATTTAATTCAATATTAAATAGAAATTTATTGCCGTTAGAATATTTAAAAGGGAGTTATTTTTAGAACATTTTTTAATTATTTAAATAAAATAGAAAAACATATCTTTTATTTTTTACAGTCTTTTTTCCAAATAACATTAAGAGAGGTTCTTTAAAGAATTGTTTTTAATGTAATTTTCTTCGTCTTTACTTATGTTACATTAATCGAAATAACTTCCACTAAAAATAATACTGTAGTAGTTTAAAATTATATCTTCAAGTTCAAGTACACTGATGTCATTATGTAAAAATTCTTCTTATTTTTAGTTTATTATTTCGTTTAATTTATCTTCATATTTTTCGATTAAATAATTCTTAAATATTTCATTTGAGCCAATTATTTAGTCATCTTTCTCATCTAAAAAAAATATATATGCAATAATAGAAATAAAAAAAATATATAAATATAAATATATATGTATATAAATATATATATATATATATATATATATATATATATATATTATATTAAATAAAATACATACAATAAGAATAACTAATAGAATTCGTAATTAATTTTAAGAATTATCTAGCTGTATTAAATGAAAAAGGTGAAATAACTATCAAATAATCTAAAAAGTTTATTTTTTTTGAATTATAATTTTTAAAATAATTTTCTAATTTTGGTATTCCTTCTACTTCCTTTATTATACTTTCAACATCTAATTCTTAGTAAATCACTAAAGAATTAATAATAGGATATTTCGCACATAATTAAATTATTAATTTCATACAAACTTCGTGTGAAAGTTATGAATAGAAGAGTTTTTCATTTTATAAAAACAACTATTTTAGTGTTTAATGTATATTTTTAGAGTAGGTTTTAACCAGAAAATCTATTAGTTTTTCACAAATAATGTCAATTTATTATATATTTTAGTTATTTTATAAAAAGAGTTCTTTAAAATTTACAAAAGAGACTTAATTTTTATCTTAAAAAAGAAAAGATTCGTTTAAAATTTGATAAAAAATCTCTGGAAAAGCCACAAAACTACTCCCTTGATTATTTTTAAGTCTAAAAACTTCTATCTAATTATATATTTTCATTTAGAATTTATCATAAAACATATCTGCTAGTAAAATTTACATATTCCTTTTTTAGAAATCCTTATTAGTGGAAAAAATAAAGATACTATCAATTAATTACCTCAAAGTTTTATATAATTAATTATTCCAATTATTGAAATTGCTCTATTTTATAAGAGTATTATCTAAAATAGGCAAAATTTCATATAAAACCATTTCTATTTTTTAGACTGAAGGATTTTAATACAAAGACATTGTTAGAAGTCCCAAAAACTATTTAAATTACGAAATTTTTATCCCTAAAATATTAAAATTTTGAAATTTAGTTATCTATACATTTTCCATTTATAAGTAATTTTTGATAATTTAGGCACAAATGAAAAAAAGTTCGTTCCAATTTTCAACAGTAAATATCTCCTCTTATTTTAGGGATTTTTTCAGTGTTTTGTCAGCCGAGTAATTTAATAGATTTTCCATTATCATCATAGAATACCTAAAAGGATCATAGTCTAATGTATTAGATTCATCTTAAGTGATTTTCCTTACTTAAGTTTTCTCCATTATCTTACTAATATACATGAGGAAGTTCTTACACGAAACCCATGATTATCCGAAGACATATTTCATTCCTTTATCTAAGTTCGGGTCTATGTTATCATCATCTTATATTAATCTACATAAAAGGTTTGTTATCATGGCTAAAGTACAGGCATTTATGATAGGATCATCCATTTTTCCGTTGTATTAGATCAAATGCTCTTCTAAATTTGAGTAATTAAAGTCTTAAAGGTAGTCATTGTATAATTTTTAAACCAAAACATATCCTCCATGTGTATCTAATTGCCAATCAGGAAGAAAATTTTAGAAGTGTTTTTCAAGTTGTTTCATAAAAAATATAGAAAATATTTTCTTTTGAACTAATATTTATTTTTTACATGATGTTTTTACGAATTTTATATAATGATGAATAACTTTAAATATATGGGAACTTCTTGTGCGAACCTGAAGAAAAAAAAAAAAAATTAATAATATAAATTAATATATATATATATATATATATATATATATATATATATATATATATATATATTATTATATATATATAAAGAGAGATTGCTTAACTTAATTATAATATGTCGAATTTAAGAACAAATTTATTATTCTTAAACCTAAATCTTACAAATATTATAAATGCTTTTCTTTATCATAGAGATCATTATTAGGGTATTTTGTGACTATTTCGATATATTATTCAGCAAGTTTTTCTGGTATAGACTCATTTTATTTTGCGTAACCAGGCATTGTTAGAAATACTTATTTCATATAAGAAGTAAATTCAGTTGCTAATTTAAAATAGTTATCAGAATTCTAAATTTCTTCTTTATAAATTTATTATATTTAGTTATTTTTTATATATTTAGTTTTGTTTGTTCGAGATGGCTATAACATATCTTACATTAAAAATAAATAATAACTATCATGGTGTTTTAGAAAACAAAAGAAAACATCTTTTAAAAGGTTTTTATGAAAGTTTTAAAGCTTTTTTTGTTATATATTTATTATAAATAATTAGTATAGATTACGTTTTGTTCTGAGTATTCTATTGTAATTTATTCTTTTTCAAGAGTTTAAATAATTGATTTTAAAATTAAACTGCCAGATGATAAATATTCACTTGATGATATTGGAATAAAATATGCATTATTACAATTTTCAATCCCATCAATATTTTATTTAAGCTAATATATTTTATAATAAAAATAAATATTTTTATTATAACAAAATTAAATATTTATTAATTATATTAAAAAAATTAAATTAATAAAATAAAATATACTAAAAAAAAGTACATTTTCTATAAAAAAAAAATATTTTATTAAACAAGATAAACTACTCTATTTATCTATTTCTTATCTATTTAATATATTTAAAAAAATTATAAATGAATATATATATATATATATATATAAATATATATAAATATAAATATATATATAGATTTATTTATATATATAGATTTATATATATATTAATATTTATATATTTTTTTTTGTTGTTGTTTTTTTTTATTCATATAATAATTACGCTAATTAAATAACTTTAATAACCGTATAATTAATAATATTATGAACTACTTCTCTAATTAAAATAGAATATCTTTTACTAAATCTTCTTTCTTTTGAATTATCTTAAATCTAAATCAATGAAAGATCTATTCTTTTCAATTTAGTAGCTAGTTTATGTATTTTAAATATCATTTTAGGCATTCTCATTTTTTTAAATATAAATTTATCAAATCCACTACTCCACTTAGTTTATGATATAAATAAATTTTTATCATATTTTATAAATTTATTTTCCACTGTCTATTAATATTCTTAAAATTCAGTTGCATATTTTTTCCCTTTTTAAATTTTATACTCTATATAATCACACATTTCATCTAAAAAAATATCTCCTATTATAAACTAGCATTCTATTGCTTTTTGACACATAAATTCATAGTTTTGGTAAAATTCATTAGAATTAATATAATTCCCTATCTAGTATTATAATATAACCACATTTTTGAATAAAAACAGTATTAATTCAGAATGTCTTATCTATTTTAGTATTTCATAGTGTTCTGAAGTGAACTTAGTATCATGTAAAAGCTTCAAAAAACTCGATCGAGATTCCTTCCAAAAACGCATCATTAAGAAGGGTGGGTTAAACTACTAATTGTTTACTTTTCTCATAATCCGGGACAATAAATAGGGTATATTATCCATATTATTCATACAAATTTCCGTTATAATCTTCAATATAGGACTCTCGTGGTCCGAAAATCTCTTTAGTTTCTTAAATAACTCTTAGGCTTAGTACCTTAGGGATGTTTAAAGGTCTTTTTGGTCTTTTTTAGAGATTGCTGAACTCAGAGGAGAACAACAATTAAGACAATATTTAAAAATATGTTCGAATTCTTCAAATGAAATATCTTTGTCTAGAATATTACAAATACAGTTTAAATAATAAAGACTATTAGCACATAAAACCTTATATTTAAATTCCAAAACTTAAAAAAGACTCTAATAAACAATGGAGACTTTGCCTTTTTTTTATTATTTACAAATTAACATATAAAACGGTCCTCATCTTTAATCATATTATCTAATTAAACTATTTTTATCTTTAAATATTTCTATAATTAGGGATAAGTAAACTATATAGCCTCTGTGTGTTCCTATATACCACTTCTTTATCCCCATAAAAGGGTATTTTTTATACATATTTCAACATAAACTTAACAGACTTTCGTTTAGTAGACGTTTTAGGGATTATTCTGTCCATTTAAGTCTATAAGTTCTTCTAAAAACCTCTTTATTAACCTAAAACTCTTCAAAAACATGATTTCGTTTTTTTCGCTTAATAGTTTGAAGATTTCGGCTATGATTTCCCATATTTCCTGTGGTTTTTCGTCTATTTAGTATAATAAATATCTCGTTGTGAACTGTATATCAGCATCTAAGATATGATATAGGATTTAGTTTATTAAAAGATGAGAGAATTTGTTTTTATTGATGATTTATTTCCTTATCTATATGAAAAAATCGCGGTTTATAAGTTTCTATATATATTCTTATTAATTGATTATTTTAGCCTTAAAAATATATGCTATAAGTCCCAAAAAGACCTTTTCAGTCTATTATTCGCCAATTTAAACTATTAAAAATTCGGAATGATCAATCATTAAACTTAAGAAAGTCTGGAATATACGGAAAACTATATCTTATTCTAAGGATATTATTTCGGTAAAAACAAGTATATTTATAATGTATTTATGTGGTTCTAATATAAAGGAGTCCTATTTTTTTTTTAAGGACTTTTTTTTGGCCAATTTGTAGTTTTCGAAGATTGTTTTGAAGTTTTCTTGTATTTAGAGTATCTTTTCTTTCTCTATTTCAGTGTTATTTGTTGTTTCTTCTAAATATTAAACATGTTTATAGCTAAATACTCCGATTCGTTTGAAAAAGCCCCGAAAATCTTTAAAATTAAAACAATATCAGAATGCATATAGGCATTTTTGACCACTTAGTCGAAAAATTGTAGCCATAAATCAGTTATTTCAATCTCGTGGGTCATTTTAAATTCATTAACGAATGTTTTCTCGTTTTTTTAAGTATAACTTTCGGCTAAAAAAGCACCAAAATGAACCAAAGTTTATAATATTAACCTTATATTGGTATCATTTATTGATTAATTATCCTTTATTATTTCTTATAGAACGTATTTTAATAATAGAAGTTAATCATAATATCCTTATAATGGTTATATAGGCTTATTATTGATATAAAATTGGTAATTATGTAGGTATTTTTTGGCATCCATTAGATTTAAATGTAGAAAAATCAATTACTAAACTCCTAGGAGTATTGTACTTTTTTAAAGAAGGAAACTTTTGATTATTTTGAGTTCGAAAATTAAATTAAGGAAGCTTTTTTATTGGAAGAGTTTTTTTTTAAAAGTAGAAAAAAATTTTCATCGAGATTTTCTTTGAGAATTTTTTTGGCAACTTAATGTGTTTGTCTTTGAAAAAAATCGTATTTTTTAAAAGGTCATCTGCCGAGATTTATAAATGGATCTTTATAGGTTTTAATTAGTCTCGAAGTCTAATTCTATATCTAATTAGGTTAAATAAGAGGGTAAATAGTCTCTTTTTTCAACTAAAAAGCACTATTTTAATATATATAAGTCTCTAATGTTCATTCTATTAGAATTCTCTTGATATTATAAATAAGAACAAAAAATAGCACATAATGTTTCTTGGTGTTCGGGTAACATTTCGTATTGATTTTGGTTTTATATTCGATAAAATATCATATAGAAAAGAGATGTGTATAATAAAAGTTCGTTGTTATCAGAATATATATATATTTAGGAAAAATTATATATTCCTTTTAAAAATAAATTATAGTTTATCTTTATGTCTAGGGCTATATCGGGAATTTATATCATTATTTGAAAATATTCAATTAAATCATTTTCTATTTTTACTTTTTTGTTTTTTTTATTTTTAAATAAAATTATATAAAAAATGTGTATTTTTTACTTCTTTATTCTTAATTATTATTTATTTATATTAAATATTAAATCGAGTTTTTATAATTATTATCTAATAGTGCTAAAATTGCATTTAATTCAATAATATTTTCCTATGTATAACATACAAGTCGTTTATTTTGGAATTTCTATTTCGAAAGATCAAACAAGAATTTATTTTTTTCATGAATGTTCTCAAATGGGAATTCTTCTAGTTTTAAATATTCTTTGGGCGGTTATTAAACCTTAGTATAATATATGTTTATTTAATAAAATTATATTATTTATAATTTTTTTTTTTATAGAATTTATAAACATAATTATAAAAAAGTAATATAAATATTTAATTTTTTACGGGTTTAAATGGATATCCTTTAGGATCTACAAGTAGATATATTTCTTATAAACCAATATACATATTTATTAATTTTTTATAATTATTATTTACTTTTATTTAAATTTTATAAAAAATAATGTTTTAATTTATTTTTTATTTCTTTATTAGTTATAGTATATATATTTATTAAAATTTAATATATCTGATGATATTAAAAAGTAATATGCATTAAAAAAAAAAAAAAAAAAAATATAATAAATATAAATATATATATATATATAAATATAAATAAAACTATTTATATATATATTTATACATTTTTTTTTTTATATATTATTATATATAATATTTTTTTTTATTCTTATTTTTAAATAATGAATATTAATTCATATATTTTTACTTTTTTTTTTTTGGTTTTTGAAGAATGTATGTAATATTTATTTAAGCTATCTTTTTTAATAAAAGTTAAGAATTGTTAATTCGGATTTTAATCTTTTGAAATGCTAATTAATTTTAATATATTAGATTATTAATATATTTGTTTTTATTTATGAAAAGAGTTTTAGTTATATTTAGTTAATCTTCGAATATATTATTTAATTAAATCCTGTTCTTGAATATATAATATTTAATAAATTAAAATGTCTATTATATTATATAATTATAAAAAATATACTTTAATTAATATTATTGAATATATTAAAAATTTTATTTATTAACTATAATATATTTATTTTTAAAAAAAAAGTATTCTAGAAAAAAAATTTCTATATAAATTTAAATTATTCATGTAATTATAATTTTTTTAATATTACATATATATTAGATTTTTTTCGAATGACATTTTTTATTATATTGTAATATATATATATATATATATATATATATACAAATATTTGGATATATAAATAAATTAAATAAAATGTTTTTTTTTCTTTATAATTTTCATAGATATTAAATAAGAAATAAAACTATTTTATATAATATGAAGTTTTTAGTATTATATAATGTATATTTATTATAATTTAAAATTAATCAATTGTATATATTTTTTATTTTTATTCTATCAATAATTAATATTTAGAAATTTAATACTTTTATAATATTTATATAAATATATTTAATTTTTTATTTTAAGTATGAATTTAAATATTTGTTAAATATAAATAAATAAAGAGTTTATTAAAAAAAATTAAGTTGTTTTATTCGAAAAAAAATAAAAATAAAAATAAAAAATATTAATAATATCAATAATATAAGATAAGTTATTAATATAATATAAGGTTGATAATTATTTTCAAATTTTTATTTCATTTAAGTATAAATTTCAATTTTTTATTATTATTAGAAACATATATTCTATTTAAAGAAAAAAATAATATATAATTTAATTTTATATTTATTAAATAGATATATATATATATATATATATATATATATATAATTAATTTTTTTTTAAAGAATAATTTATATATTTATTAATTAAAAATCATAAATAAAATAAAAAAATATAATAATTAAAATATTAATAAATTATTTATTTATAATTAATATACATTTTGATCATATATTTTTTTATTTATTTTAATTTATTATAATTAATTTATTTAAAAAATTAAAATAAATAAACTTAAATTTTTTAAAATTTATTTTTTTATCTATTATTTATATTAACATTTTTAAATAATTACTATAACCAAGAATAAAAAAATTATAATTAAAAAAAAAATATATATATATATTAATTTAATATAAAGATAAAATATATATATATATATTAAATAAAATGTAAAAAAAAAAATATTCTTAATAAAATATAAATTATTATTTTAATTTTTTATTAAAAAAAAAAAAAAAAAAAAAAAAAGAGAAAAACAAATAATAAATAATATTAAAAAAAAAAAAAAAATAAAAAAAAATAACAACAACAACAATAAAAAGACAATAAAAAAATGGCAGATGATGATCGAGAAAACCGTAATATACATGTATTAGTAGCTGAAGACGATAATTTTTAACGTTTAGCATTAATAGACGTCCTTACATTGTGTAATTACCAAGTCACAGACGTTGAGAACGGTCGTTTAGCTCGAGATGAGTTATTAAAAGAAGATTCTAACATAGATGTAGTATTATTAGATCTATGGATGCCCGAGATGGATGGCTGGGAGTTATTATGCTTAATGTAGAACTATGAAAAGCTTCGAAATATTCCAGTAATAATGATGAGTGCTGATAATGAATAGGAGAAAGTAGCTTTATGTCTAGCTCACGGGGCTAAGGATTATTTAGTAAAGCCTATAAGAATATAGATGGTAAAAGGTATAGCTAATCATGTGATTTCTAGTAATAAATTAAAGACAAATCCAGGAGGAAAGGTGACTTATAAAAAAATAAGAACACTAGGATAAGGAGCTAGTGGGAGTGTTGAATTAGTTTAAAGATCTAATGATAATTAACTTTTTGCTTTAAAGACTATATCTATGAAATTTATGAATGAAACTGAAAAAAAAATGGCGGAATCAGAAGTCACATTATTAAAAGTATTAGTTGCCCCAACTATTATTAGATATTATGATTCATATATAGAGAATGATACTATAAATATGTAACAGAAATAAAAATATATATAAAGTAAATATACATATATAGAGTTATGGAATATGCAAAAGAAGGCGCTTTATCAGATAAAATAAATGAATGTAAAATAAAAGGAATACACATTTCTGATGAAAATATATTATATAATATAACTTAATTAATTATAGCAGTACTTTTTATGCATGATAAAAACATACTTCATAGAGACATTAAAACCTAGAATTTATTCCTTACAAAAGAGAACGTAGTAAAACTAGGAGACTTCGGTATATCTAAAGCCCTAGGAACAAATGCCGATTTAACCAAAACACTAGTCGGAACTCCTTATTTTATGTCCCCTGAAGTATGTAATGGTGACACATATGGTTAAAAAGCCGATATATGGGCTATAGGATGTGCCTTATATGAAATGGCTATGTTAAAAAGACCATTTGATAACGATAATATAAATATACTGTTTTCTAAAATAAAAAATGAAGTAAAAAATAATAATATAAAAAATAAATACATATATAGGAACCACCACCTTTAAGTGATCATATAAGTAGTGATATAAGAATGTTATGCTCTCTGATGTTATAGAAAAACCCTTAATTAAGACCTTCGGTTTGGGATTTGGCAAAAATAGAATGTATATAGAAAAATATAAGCCGTTATTATGAAGAAGAGGCTAAAGAAGACCCTTTTTTGGTCGGATATTTAAAAGGGGGAGGAAATTAGAGGAGATAAAATAAAGGATTGGAAAAATAGAAGAATGGATAGAATGAAAATAATAATTAATAATCGTCTAATTAATAGGGGAATTCTTAGAAAAATCAAGGGAATGAAAATGGAAGTATTATTCAAGAATCGAATAATCATATAGAAGAAATTATTAGGATTTTAAATGAAAGTTTGACACCTTATGATGAAAAAATTAGCGCTTTTAAAATCGAAAGAGATGTTATTAATGGAGAATAGGTTTTTGAGTAATTAAAGAAGTATTATCCGCTTTCAACTTAAGATTAAGTAGGTAAATTGGAAGAATTAGTCAATAAAAAGTACTTACATCATATTTCTGGACCTATATATTAAGCTAGTAAGCAGTCTTTATATAGATTTTAGATAGATATGCCAAATGTTGGGGCTAATTAATGTAAAATATGGACTAAATAGGCCAGAAAATCACATATTATAATGTAGGATTTGGTAAAAAGTGGGAATTAATTACTAAATGAGATTTGTGATTAATATTCTGGAAAAATAGACTGCCAAAAATTGATATAAAGTATAAAAAAATTCAATAATTTTTAAGAAAATACATGTGAATTATAGAAACTTTATGTCGAAGATATGGAAAATAAGAATGAAATTTAGTGCTTTTTTATTAATTTATATTAAGTGATGTATTTCCATAAATTCGTGAGAGAAAAAATAAAGGAAATTAAAAATAAATAAAAAGTCTAATAAAAAACGCTTTGGGAATAATTATTCTTCTTTTTACCATTCTTTGGATCTAAACAGGAGGATTTTTATTATTAAATTGGTAATCTATAGTTTAATATAGAAGATGTCAAACATGGCATTTTAAGAGCAAATAAAAAACACAAGAACAGCAACTTTAAGCCTTTTTCAGATCAGGATTAAAGATTTAAGTGTATTTAAGGCCAATAAGATATGAGATTTTTAGTATTTTTAAAGAAGAATAAACAGAAGTGTCAGAATTAAAGTTTATTAGAATGGAAAATTTCGAATAAGACCTAAATTAGGCAACTAATAAGTTTGTAGCCGCTAATGTTTATATGGATACAGTGGAAAATGATTTGATTATGCATAAAATTTTTAGTCTTTATAATAGTGATTTTGGTGATAACTAATATAATGTAATTAAATGGGTTTGTAAGTATTCGAAGAATTTAGATAGTCCGGAAAATATTATAAATAATATTTCTTAAGGAGAAGTTTTTTTATAGTATTAAGAAAAGTTCAAATGATGTTATTTAATTTATAAATAGAATTTATTATATAGAAATATATATTTAAATATATATATAAATATATAAATATATATATATATATATATATATATATATATATATATTATTATTATTATTATTATTATTATTATTTTTATAATATTTTTAAAAAGTTTTATATTATTTAATTTATATTTATAAAATAAATTGTTTTTATTATATTTTATCTTTTTTTTATTAATTATTATAAGTAATATTTCAAAAATAATCTAAATTTTTTTTTTTAATTGTTAGAATATTTATATTATGTATTCAATATAAAAAATATAATAAATGTTTTAATTTAATATTTATTTTTTAAAATTTATTTAATATGATAATCAATATAAATTTACATATATATTATATAATTTCATGTTTTTTTTATATAATTTATTTTTAAATTTATTAATTTTATTAGTAATCATTATAATTTAAATAATATTATTATTATTAAATTATTGATTGAAAAATATATATAAATAAATTTTTATTATAATATTATTTATTAGTTTCATTATATTTATAATATTTTTATTATAAATTATTATATTATAAATATTTTTAAGTTTAAAAATATTTTATTTTAATTTTTATATATTTAATTTATTATTATTTTTTATTTTAATAATTAGCATTTAATATAATGTTTATTTATATAATAATTAATATTAAAAAATGATTTATAAATAAATTATTAATTATTTTTACAGTTAACACTTAATTTTGAATTAATAATTTATTTAGTATTATTTATTATAATCCCTTTAATTATAGATATATTTAAATAAAATTAAATATTTAAAAATTTAATATAATAAATTATATATTAGCATTTTCTTTAAATATTAATGTTTTTTATTTCTCATCTTAATATTTATTTTCTATGTATTTAATATTCCTTTTGTAATTTTTTTTGTTTTTTAATCTAATTTTGTACTAATATATAATTAGATTTTTTATTTAATATTATGATAATTTAAATTATTATTATTACTTACTTTTGACACGTTAATATAATAATAATTAAATAAAATTTTATATGATACATATAAAAATGAAATATTAGAAATTATTAATTTAAACATAATTGACTTAAAAATTTAAATAAAAAAATAATAATTTAGTTTTAATTATTATATGAATTAAATGATCAACAACAAATAATGTATTCCTTTATAAATTTAAAAAAAGCCTAAAATTAAAAAAAAAGGAAAAGAATACCAAAAACTTAAATAATATATAAAAATTAAAAAGAAAAGAATCTTAAATTATAAAATTCATAAAAAAATAAAGACTGACAATATTTAATACTTTATAAGTATAAAAATAAACATAAAAGCCTAAAATTTAACAAAAATGTAAATATAAAATGTAATTCTAAAAAAAAATGTTAAATAAATAAAATATTTATATTTCTTTCGATTGTGGAAAATATTTATATAGACAATTAAAATATATAAAATATAATAATATTTATTTTTAAATAAAAAAACTATATATAATATAATTTAAATATAAAAATTAAGAAATTACATTAGTTAAACAGTGAAATAAAATAAATGAAATATAATGTAATATAAAAATCAAAATAAAATTAAATTAAAATATTTAAAAATAAAAAAATAATATTAATTTAAAAAATTAATAAGTTTAAAATAAATTATTAGTCAAAAATAATGTAAAAAATGAAAATAATTTTTTTTATTTAAATAATTTGAAACTAATAATATTTATATTTTTTAAAAAATATGAATAAAAAAGATTAAATGTAAACATATATATATATAATATATATATATATTTATATATATATATATATATTTATATTTATATTTATATTTATATTTATATTTATAATATTTATTTTTAATTGAAATATATATTTTTTAATAACATAATAATTTATATACTATTTATTATTATTTTTTTTTTTATTTATTATATTTTTTTATTTATATTAATTTTCATATATATTTATTAAATATATTTTATAATAATTAAAAATAAATAAATTATTTATTTACTAACAATTAAAAAAAAACTTATTTTAAAAAATAAAATAAATAATGAAAAAAAATAAAGTTACTCCTTAAGATTAACCTACAAGTATTACCGATGCTTTAAAATAACGTTACTAATAGCACAATAATTAATCTTCTAAAAAGCTTATAGATACTGATAAAAGCATTAAATCTTAAGAAAAGTAAGATTCACATAAGTATTTCTAAAAAGTAGGTTCTAATAAAAATGTTAAAAGAGCAAGTATAAAAGCTTAGTAGATGCCAGAATTACCTGATAATGTGTAACTAAATGTAATGTTTTAGTCTGAGAATAGGCCTTTATAAAGTATTTTGTTAAAATAATGGGGAGATGGTAATAATAAGGGCAGTTAAAGAGTAGATATGTTTGGAAACGAGATTGATAGGGTGAAAAAACAACATAAAATATAATTTAATCAAGACATTAATATTGTTAAGATTGATAATTGGAAAAAATATAATAATAATACATATGATGATATTGATGATAAATGTACATGTAATTTACTTTAATTAATCAGTTTTTTTTAAAAATATTTGTTCTTATTTTGAGCAAATATTTTTTTTTTTTTAATTTTTTTTTTTTTTTTTTTTTTTCTTCTTCTTTTAAATATTTTTTTTTTTTTAAAAAAAAATAAAATAAAATTAAAAAACATGAAAAAAAATAAAAAAATAAAAAAATAATATATCTATGGGGGGGGGGGGAAGGAAATAAGTATATATATATATATAAAATTTATAATATATATATATATATATAAAATTAATTTTTTTTTTTGAAAAATTATCAGTTATCATCACTTGAATTATTTTTTAAATATTATTAATATTTCTCCTCTTCTTACATCATCTTTTATTAAAATAATTAATTAACCGAATCAAATATAGGTTTGTTTTATTCAATTATATCTCTTTCCTCTTCTGCCGTAATATCATTAATATTCCATTTATTCTTGAAATTTTCTATATCAGCTTCTGTTTCTCCAACATAAAAAGGACATCCTAATGTAATTAAACATATTTCTTTAAATTTCTCAAAGTCTAAATGATATGCTGCATATAATAATGGCTTTAATTATTCACCTTTATCAATACCATAGTATTCTTTCATTATTTAATATGAATTTGAATCAAGATTTTCAATTAATTTATCACTTTTTAATGGAGATTTCCATTCCATACTGTCGGAATTATATTAATGAATTTCACAAAATTTTCTAATGGTTTTTAATGTTTCAGATGGACTTATTTTTTTAACATAGTATTATTAAATACATATATATATGTATTTTTATTATTATTTAATATTACATAGTAGTTTATATTTCTTCTTCTAAATTTGACATTTAAACTAGTTTAGATAAATTTCGAAGTTAGCTTTTAAATTCTATTTTTTCGCCATCTATACTTGTTAATATTATTATTTATTATGAGATGTCTTGCATAATACTAAATATATTTTTTTTATTAATTTTATATATTATTAACTAACTAATATTAATATATTTTAAGATATTTAAAAAATAAACGAAATCGAATATAAATATAAATGTATATATATATATATATATATATATATATATATATATATATATTTTTATTTTATATTTTTTTTTTATTTAAATTTAGAAAATATAATATAATTTTTAAAAATTTTATAACTAATCTCTTTTATTTTATTTTCTTATAAAATTTAAACTTAAATGATAATTAAATTAATAATTATTTCATTATTCTATTTTTTTTTTTATTAAATTATATAAAATGTATAAAAAATTTATTTAAAAATATAATTACATAAATCAGAAATATAAATATTTAATATATAGCTATATATATATATATATTTTATTTAATATTTATTTGGTACCTATATTTATTTTCTTATTATATTATTAAACAATATAATAGTTTTTTTAACAATTTATATTACTATTATTTATATAAATTTTAATTTTTAGTTTAATTATTTTCTTTCGTTTTTTTTTTTATCTTTTTGAATGTCTTATTTATTATTTTTTTTTATATTTTTGTTGTTGTAAAATTTATTATCTAATTTTTTTTTTTTTTTTTTCTTATTTTAATTTTTGTTCCAATAATTTACTTTATTCGTTTCATTCTTTTAACATTTAGTTTTACTCTTTATTATTTTTTTTTATATTTTATCTTATTATATCTATATTTTCTATTATTTATTACTAATGTTTTATATCTTCTTATTTTTTAATAAAATTTTGTTAATTTTAATTTATTAAACACTTAAGTCTTTCAATATCCATTTTAAATTCTTCCTTTTTTTATAAATATTAATCTTTATTAATATTTTCTTTATTGTTTTATTATGTTTGTTTTTATTATTAATCTGTTTGAGCCATTATTTATATTAATTATTTAATTTAATCATTTATTAAAGTCTCATATTGTTTGTTTTACTCATTTATTTATCTTATTTGTAATTATAATTATGTTATTAAGTTTTTTACTTCATTCATAATTAATTGATTTTATCTATTTGGTGATTTATTTATACATCCCATTTAACTTTACTTTCAATTTAAATATAGACTTATTAAATATTTATTTTCTTATATTAATAAAAATAATATATTATATATATAATATATTAATAATTTTATTATATAATTTTTTTTTAATTATATAAATAAAATGTTATATTATATTTATTTATTTTATATAAAATAATATACTTATAAAAGAAAAATGTTCTAATAAATTAATATAATATTAATAAAAAATTTATAGTACTAAATAAAATTAATTTAATTTATTAAAAATGTATATATAAAACATATTATATATAAAACTATATATATTTATGTCTTTTTTTTTTTTTGTTATTATTAATAAACTTCTTATTCAATTCTTTTTAATAAAAGGATTAATTATCATATAATATTTTAGTAATATAATTTATTCAATATTATAATTAATAGTAAATTATAATTTACAATTTTATCAAATTTATTAATTCGGATTTTAATTATTTAAAAGTAAAATAATATTATTAGATTAATTTACTTAGCTTTATGATTAAGAGAATAATAATTTTTATAACAGACTTGATATCTATAAATATGATTTTATATTTATAGTATGCATTTTATATTAATTGTAGGCATAAAATATCTTAAAATATATATTATATAACTTAATTTAAATAATGCAATTTAAAGTGTTTGCCTTTGTATATAACATTTTATATTAATTTTTTATCTTTTTATATAAAAAAATATATAAATAAATAGAAAAAATTATATATTAACTAATATAGAACCATAAAATTTAAAAATTTATATAAAAAAAAAAATGTATTTTTTGCAAACTTATTGATATTTATCTTTAAATATTTCAATATAATATTATTAAATCAAATATATAATTAATCAATAATAAAAATGTTTTAAGTAAGTCGTTAATAATATAAATATTTAATTTCTTATATTAAAAACATAAAAATGAGGAATGATAGAAAGATATTAAAATTAAAATAGTATGTTATTTTATAAAACGATTTTTGTTATTTTAAAATTAATTAAAATGTGTTAAATTATATTTATTTTTATTTATTTATATATATATATATATAAATAAATATATAAATATATAAATATATAAATATAATTTTTTTTTTTATTATTAAATATATTTTATTTTAATTATTTTTCTAATTATATATATTTATTTTTATATATAATTCTAAACTAATATAATTTTTTTTTATTTATATTTTTTTAGTTATTTATTCATTATAATTTTTTTTACATAATTAATTTTTTATTTAATAAATTTAATATATATATGAATTATCTTTTTAAAAAATATTTTCTTTTTTTTCTATTACTTTATATAATACTCTAAAAAAAATATTAATAATAAATTATTTTATATATTATTTAAAATTAATATTTTTTAAAATGTGTTTTCCATTTGTTACAATCGAACCTCGAACAGAAAAATCACGAAATTGCATAAATTATTTAAAGTTCTTATGTTTAGGACATTTATTAGTAGGTTTTTTAATAATGTTTTTATATAAAGATATAGTTTAAGGATTTTTTGAATTTATTTGTTGCTTAATTTTATATATGTGCTGGTCTTAATTATCATATTAGATGTGTTTATTTTATATAGTTTTTGAGTGTATTTTTTCTATTATTAAACATATTGTATTGTTATTGACATTAATATAAAATTAAACTAATTTATTGCCTAAAAATGATAAACTTGCCTGTGCATAACATATTTTGTCCTTTATATTGATTGCTTTTTATTTCACAGCTGCTTATATAGCATTTAAAGCATATAAATAATTTAAAGGTGAAATGTACGATTTTAGTGGAATTAATTAGGGATATGAGGATCATGAAAATCAATAATATAATTAAAATAGAGATAATTATGTAAGCTCAGTACCACCTCCACCTGCAGCTAATAGCAGTAAATAAAATATATTAATATAAATATAAATATATATATAAACATATATACATTTTTTTTTTTATGATTTATATATTTTTATATATAGCTAGTTTAAATACAAATGGATATTTTACAGGAAGAGGTGTTAGAATTGGATGAAAATTTTAATTTATATTATGAAAAATTGATTTTCTTTTTTTCTTTTAAATAAAATTATATATATATATATATATATATATATATATATATATATATATATATATATATATATTTTTTTGTTATTGTTGTTTTTCTTTTTTTTTAGTTAAAATAAATGTCCGATTTATATATATTTTTTATTTTTTTGTTTCTATATTATAAAAGTTAAAAATATTTAAAAAACATATAATTATTTATTATTTCCATTTATTTGTAAAAAAATAATTATTTTTAATTGAAAAATATATAAATAATAAAAAATTAATTAAAAAAAAAATATAATTACAATTATTTATATTTTTTTATAAATACAAGAAAAAATGAACGCTGATTTATTAATAAAATCCTAATAATTTAAAGATAATATTAAATTTGACGACAATTAATTTTGTGATGCGATTGATAAATTGTTTAATTAAAAAAAAATTGGTCTATTAAGAGCTTTAGCCTTTAAAAGAGAAGCTGGAACTCATTTAAGCGCTTATTAAATTAACATTGACAAAATATTATAAGAACCTTATATTTATATGAGTGATAATTTTACAAGATTATATTAAGAATATTAAAAATGATAAAATTATACTGTAATTTTGTTTTTTTTTTTCTAAATATAATTTTCTTAATAAATAGAAAAAAAATAATAAAATATATTTTATTAATCGAATTTTTTTTTAAAAAAAAATAAAATAAATACTTTTTTTTTTATTTATTTATTTTTTTTTTTAAAAAAAAAAAAAAAAAAAAAAAAAAA